CTATTACCTAATTTTTAAATGTGCAAAAGTTGTATACAATAGTATAATAGTTAGAATATCTCCTCATTACATGTAAGATTATTTGGAAGAGAATATTTTAATCTTCCAGATTGAATAAAAATTTTTTTCCTGGCAAAATACCTGGAATATTTCTTTATAATAAATGTATGACATATTATTGAAATACAAGCTCAGATATGTTTAATATTGTTAAACACACAACTCATCTACATGTAATCCTGATTTTGTATCATTAATAATCATGCAATATCACAGCATTTAACAAAGTAATTAACAAAGAAAGGGAAGAGGAAAAATAAAAGAAACATCTATTTGATAATTATTCAAGACTTGATTATCTATTAAAGTGCAACACACATTTATGGTAGATTAGAGACAAGTCATTTAGTTTATAAATACCCTCATAATTTCTACTTTAAATTTCATAATTAATTCTCTGCCTTTAGTCTGTCACATTCCAATCCATTATCTATGTAAGTATCAAAACAAAATAACTTTTCTGAGAAATATGAAACAGCTATCAATTATAAGGTAAACATAAACTTGATAGAATAACATAAAGACCATTACAAACATCCCCCACCTATGCAAGGTCTTGCTGATTTTAATTATTGTTACTTCATCTACTTTGTGAAATTCAACTTTCTCCTTAAGGCATGGCTCAAATGCTCTCCATCTGCATACACCTCTCTTTACTCATCTATTATGCAAATATTCTTGTGGGCCTTACACACAGGCATTGTTTCAAATGCTGGGGTGAATATAACACAAATTTGTTTCCCTTCTAGAAACTTACATGCTAGTGACAGAGATGAAGTAATCAAGTAATTAATAAAGACAGAATATAGTAACTGGTAGTTTATGTTACAAAAAAAAAAAAATTAAGAATATCAGGGAATGGCCAGTGGAAGAGCAAAAAGGTATTTCAGATAGGGTGGTCAGGAAAGGTCTCTCTGAGGATTAACATTTAAGGATAGAAGCAGCTGAAGTAAAGATGGAGTTATAAGAACATCTGAAAATAAGAGTTCTTCAGGTACATAGGACAACAAATGCAAGCATGCCTTAGGCAGTAACCAGATTGGTGCTTTTGCAAAAGAGAAAGTCAGTGAGTGAATGTTGCCATAGCGATATTGAGAGAAGGTCAAAGAATATACTTAGAGCCCAGGTCAAGTAGATTCCTACAGGCTATGATAAAGGCTGTGGATTTTTCACTAATTATTCTAACAAGCTAGTGAAAGATTTTGAGAAAGGAAATGGCATGCTCTGACTGAAGTTTTAAAAAGATTACTCTGTCTACTAAGTGAGATATAGATGAAAGGGGTGCAACCACAGAGGCAGGGGCACCAGTGAAACTGCTATTAAAAATGTACTGTAGCCTCAGTTAGGTTGGCATCTATGGAGGTGATGAGAAGTAGTAGACTTTGATCATACAACCAGAAGGGCTTGCTGAGAGGTTGGTTATAGGCTGTGAAAGAAAGAAAAAAATATGTGTAAAATGACTCCTAGCTGCCTTTTGACCCTAAGCAGCTGAGTGAATGGTGGTGTCATTTAATAATATGGGGGAAACTACAGAAATAGTGTTTAGAGAAGATATTATAATTCTTTCTCAAATATTAGTTTGAAATGCTAAGTAGGTATCCAAGTGGAGCTCTTGGGTAGGCATACAAGCATTCATATCTGGCACACAGGGGTAGTTCAGAACTAAACTCTCAATTTGGAACAGCACACACTACATGGAAGTCAAAGAGAAGAAAATGTTTCAAAAAAGACAGAGTTAGGGATTAAGCAGAAATGAGAACTGAAAATTGGCCATTGGATTCAGCATGGAGGAAATTGCTGGTGACCGTGACAAGAATGGATTGGGCAGATTGCTGCTGCTGATTATTAGAAAAGACTTTGTGCAATGGGTTACAGCAAGTATGGGATATGGTGAAGTGGAGACAATAATTGTGAGTGCCTTAGGCAGCAACTGTGTTTTGTTTCATTTCTTTGTAACATTTATCATCATTTGGAAAAGAATTTATTTTACTTGTTTTTTTTCGTGTGTTATTGCCTCCTCCATCCCCTAACGCACACTTGAATATAAGTACCATGAATGCACAGATTGTCTTCTTTTTCATTCATTACTTTGTTCTCAATACCAATAGCTGTTTCTGATAAATCTCATATGGATATGCAAATAATTTTGCATATACAAGACACAGTAACGATTGCTAAAGAAAACATTAGATGGGACAATGAGTCACTTGTATATTACAATGAGAAGTCAATACATCATTCTGGACCAGAGCTCATTTTTTGGAAGAATTATACTTTGAGTTAAAAATAACTTTGTTTTTAAATCAAGAAAACATTGCCAGATTACCAATTATATAGACTATGAAATTTGGGTTATTTATATTACTTTTGGGGTGGTTACTAATAATGTGATAAAGAAAAGTGCTTTTCTTCCACCAGTTTTGTGTGTGTGTGTGTGTGTGTGTGGTGCATATGTATGTGCATATATTTTATATCTTAAGGCAAAGCTTGAGAGTGAAGAGTAACTAAAGCTCTAGAATATATATATATATACATATATATTTTTTATAGATTTTTTTTCTTCTTTTCAGACTCATTCATCAGACCTGTTCTTTATTCCCCACTCTGCTCCCCTCCTACTCAGACTTTCACGATCTTCTATCCTATGAATATTTTTGTGAACAATATAGCCTCCGGTGATCTCTCTTTTGCTAAACTCCCATATCACTAATTGTGCCTTATGACATCTCCCCAAAGAATCATAAGCTCTCTATGGAGTTTCTTTGTCTCATAATATACCCAGGACAATTACATGCATGTGGAAGTCACTTAATAAATCTTTACTGATTGAATGAACATATAAATTAATAAGTGAATACAAATAAAGTATAGGCTGCCTCAAACTTCTTTCTAATAAGTACCTATGATTTTATCAGACTTTTCTGGGAGGTCTCTGAGTTTACTCTAAATGTCCAAATGTTTTTGCCTATATCCTGCTTTATCTCTAATGGCAGATTTCAAACTTTACAAGGATGGATAAGGCAGTAAAAAAAGAAACAAAGCTACAGTATAGGAATTTTAAAAGACATATGAAACAAATAATGATATAGCAAAAGATTATTCACTTAGGCACATAGACAGGGGTTGATTTATAAAGTTTCCTAGTTGCTCTTTCAAAGCATAAGGATTACACAAAATGAGATCTTCCTGTATAATACATGTTTCAAGTCATATAAGTCAAGAGACACACAAAGACTAGGCTTAGCATTTTAAATGGAAGAAAAAGCGTATTAAATCTGTACTTACTGTCTTCTATGTCCCAGCATTGGGTGATTGGGTCCCCATACTTTACATCTTGGCGTCTAGCTCGCCTACAGAAAAGGAGTTAAACTGATGAGAACTTCAAGCATGATCATCAGAATACAGAAAGGCTACATCTAACACTAATAACAGATGCAGAACCATGCTTATCTTACTTCTCAACTTAAACGCAGGTCCAATATTCCAATCAAACTAACATTAACTCAAATGCTACTGGTAGTAGAGTCCTAGTAGAACAAATCCTGTTCAGGCAATGAGATTACCTGAATTTTATTTAACTACTATTCTTTTCTTTTTGTCTGATTTTTGATGAATTATTCAATGGAACAGGTTGAATATAAATATAATCCAGGTTTTATATAACTAAAATGGGGATAACTATTCCTACCATTTCAGTCATTGGGAAATAATAACATATAAAAGAGCTTCAGTCAATGGATAATAAAGTATACACAAATACAAAAAAATTTATCATGTAAATATCCATTATTATATAGATTTGATTAAGCAACAAATTGAATGGTGTTATTTGAAACAGAATTACAAGTTTCATATGGTAGGAATGACTACCTATTATTTCTATCTTCTGACATGTAGCTCAAATTGTTTTCTGGTCGTTGTGATAATAATAATGATGATGATGGTAATAAATAATGGCTTTTGCATTAAGTCACATATTTTCCTTAAGAGAAAATAGTAATTATTGTATAAAGATGGAAAAAAAATTGCTACATCTATGTTAAGCATGTCTTACACTCTTATTTTATATTACCTTATATTATTATGTTAATATATATTAATATACATCTTATTATAATATATTAATGTATACCTTACATTATATCTTATAATATATTATATGTTATTTTATAACTTATTTACTTTGGCTATTTTATTTTGCCACTTTAGAGATCAAGTAGAACCCTAAACCTGCAATATCTAGGTGTTCCTTAAGGGCAATGCTGACCAGATGGCAACCTTGTACAAGATTCATTCATTGTGAGCATCTTTTGGCTCACATGCACATTATGTTAGGTAAGGAAAAACATCACAGTGGCACATCTGTAAGATATGAGATACAGTCTTGTGAACTAGAAGAAGAAAAAATTATGATGGTATAAGGTACATAAGGTCAAGAATTGTTTTATATCTTGGCCTCTTAAATAACAGGGTCTATTCATCATATTGAATGTTTCTCAGCAACCCACTAGAATTATTGTTTTTTTAGCTTCCAGAAAAGACTCACTATGACAAGCATATTATTGGCTGAAAGCTATAACAAAATGTTGGTGGCTTTTTTATTTTGACTTGTTATAATCATATCTATGCATTTAAATTTAATTCAGAGATTTCAGCCAACATAAAATGTTTCCAATTTTAAGCAGTATTTTCTGCTGTATTATACTATATATTCAATCTGTGACTCCCGAGATTTTAGAATTTAACAAATCAGTAAAATTTCAAAAAGAAAAAAAGTGTACATGTGGTAGTGAGACTAACATATGGTTACTAGTTATCTTAATTGGTTAAAAAAAGACTTAAAGAATAAAGGAATACCACACACAATTTGCTGACGTTTTACCTAGATGGAAATATACTTCGAACAATACTTGATAAAATAATTTTACTATAACCCACACCTAAAAATAATTAATGTACGATATTTACTTAACATCAGGCATATTGATGGGCATTCATTGAGATTGTTTCAAGTTACTTTGTTATTAAAGATAAATAGTGCTGAAATGAACATCCTTAACCATATAACTTTGTGGAACTTTTGCACATGGGTGTATAAGAATAAATTTCTAGCTGGGAATTGTTGGCTCAAAATAGTGGTTATATCTAGGAGCACATAAAGCAATGAACTGCAAAGAGCAAGGTAACAGTTTGTCATTTAAATATATCTGAGTGGCAGAAATTGACCAAATTAGAGTTATTAGAGTAAAAATAAAATTGTACCAAGATGCTGGCATGCACTGTGAGCTGTATATAATCTGTGCTTTTACAAACACATATATTTAAAAATTATTTGCAAAACAGTAGTTATGAGTATATATATATTTACAAATAACAAGGGAGGAAGGAAGGGCTACATTTCAGAATTTCAGAATATCTGAATTTTTTATCTGAATATCTGAATATTTTACTCTCCTTCAAAATTCAGTTTTATATAAAACTATAAAAAGATTTATTTCAATATTCCTTCCATTGACCATGTTTTGCATATATTTTATTTTTAACTTAAACTACAAGACAACGATTTGTGTGAGATATTCATCTTACAGAAAGGAAGGTTTCATATTAACTCAATGCACATCTTACCTTTTTGATGTAGGTGCATACCGAGAGCATGCATTTCCATCCCAGGCACAGTAGGGGTCTCTGGCAAGACAACAGTCTGCACAAGCTTTCCCGTAAGTGTCGCATCTGTGCAAGGAGAGCTGAACCAATCCATCTCGGGAACCAATGTACAATTGTTGCTGCAAATCAGGCAAAACAAATGAATGAGAAGCACCTTTCAGACTAGTCCTAAAAACTTCATTTTCTAAATCTTTTTCTCTAAGTGCCCCACCCCTTGTAAACACTTGTACAGAAACATGGCAAAGAGCAAAATAAGTCAAGGTCTTCTATCCCTGGTAGGACAGTGGTTTGAAGATGTAGATACTGAAAAGGACAGCATTCTAAAGCGCTGAGTAAGCTTGGCAGTAATTTATGAAGGTCAAAAACCAGTTGCTAGACAGGAATTAAGATGTCAAATTCCTTCTCAATAGTAGAAAATATATCTTGGTAGATTATATCAAGCACAGATGCTATAGGCAAACCTGAGGGTCTTCCCCAGCCGTGGCTCCTTACATGGGAGATGACTGAAAGAGATTTATAAAACTTTCCTCTGGTTTTAATTAACCATTTCATTTATTAATGAAGTACTGGTCCCCGCAAGGACAGGGGTTGTAAGTGATAGAGAAAGCATTTGGTATCACTCTAAAGAAAGTGTTGAAGCAGGCTTGAGAGAAGACATGTCACAAAGAAAAGGCTGCAGGATACTGAAAAACCCAGCAAATAAATTCCATTTTGAAAATAAGCCCAGAAATGAATGCACTACTGCACTTATATATTCATTTGAGTGTCTGTGGTAGTGGTGGTAGAGAGGGAGGGATAATAAAAATGAATAAGCCATAGCCTGTGCCTTTAAAGAACTCATGGTCAACCCCAGTGGACCATGCCAAGCTTTAAATGAAGGAAAAGCAGCTTAGAAGTAAATATTGGCAATAAGTAGCATACATGCACTCAACTTGCAGAAATCTGTCTTATACCTCTATCGCCCATTAAACTGTCAGTTAAGACTTTCTAGTTGCTAAATGCAATGAACACTGTTTAACATTTGTTTTGCTTAAATTCTCCATAGTGTTTGACACTAATGACAATATGCTCCTTGAAACTCTCTCCACTCTCTCCTGTTCTCCCTCTTTAAGTCTGCTTTTGTAATTTTTTTCTTTGCACTAAATGTTGGGTTTCCCTTTTTCTTATTCTCATTTCTTTACCCTTTTTATTCTCTAAAGGTTCAGAAGTATCTTGAAAATGACATAAACACGAACATAATGACTCCCCGAAATCTACTCCTCCTGCCCTACCTTGGCAAGAAGCACCATCACTCACCCCGTTACCCAAGACAGAAATCTGGCAGTTGTCTTTGAATCTTCTGTCTCTCACATTCAATCTGTCACCACATCATTTCCATTCTCATGTTCATTCTCATGTTCAATTTTCTAATCTATTTCCTCCTCTCCCTCTCCACTGCCACTGCCTTTGTTTCAGTCCTTATCATTTCTTTCCTGCATTACTTGTAAGTGTCCTATTTCTGCTGGCTTCAGCCTCGTTTTCCAGCAACCCCCATCTCTCCACCAGAACCCAATCTCTCTCCCACACTGCCACAGCAGACTGACTTTTCTAAAAGGAAAATCTTATCAGGACACCCTCCTGGTTATAATCTTTCAGGGTGTTCATTGCCTTTTTCTTTCTTTTTTATTTGAGACAGGTTCTCCTTATGCTTGCCCAGGCTGGACTCGAATTCCTGGGCTCATGTGATCCTCCCACCTCAGCTTCTTGGGAAGCTGGGACTATAAGCATATGCTTCCTAAGCACCCAGGGGATTTCATTATCTTTAAGATGTGTTGTTAAACTTCTTAGGAGGACATATAAGGATGTGCCTAATCTTGCTCTGGCTTATTTCTCCAGGTTTATTTCCAGCCTCCTCCTCTCTTGAACACACATATGCCCAGGAATCTAAAGGAACAAAAACTTATTAGAACAACCTATTATGGTCTCTCTTCACACCTTCGCAAATGTTTGCCCTTTTTACTTGGCATAAGCTCCTCTATCCCATTCCCCTTTTAATTTATCTGTTTGTTTTCATTATTATTATTAATAGCATGTTCCTCTGTCTCTCAGCTCTACTGTGAGCTTCTGGAGGTAAAAGGCTATGTCATTCATTCACTTCTGTACCCTCTAAGCACAGTAGTAGGCCTTCAAGACACAAATGTTGAATGAATGAAGAGATTAATGTAAAAGACCTAAAGAAGAAACCTATTTAGACCTTTCCTTAATAATCACTCTGCCATACGAGGCATAGTAGATAAAGACGATTTTAGAAACACCTTAATGTTGAACATCTTATCATATGAATTTCTTTTTTTTTTAATTTTTAAATTTTTCTTTCCTTTTTTGCACACAAGTGACTTCAAGCAGCTCACATATGAATTTCTTAAATCTTGAGGGTACAAATAGAAATGGTAATGCAAGTATAAATCTCTAGAACCAACTGGGATTTTGCGTATCATATCAGAGAACTGTGAAGTCATATACAACATTGTTATTATCATAATTACCTACTCCTTACTTCATACTTATAATGTCCCAGCTCTCTGTGCAGAACTTTGCATGCAGCATCTTTTTTAAACTCCCAATAAACTTACAATGTAGATATTGTTTTTCTAACTTTACTGTAAAGGAAACTGATTCTGAGAGTTTGATATTAAGCAGTATTTTGAAGGCCAACTGTTATTAGGCTGTTTGCTACCACAGTCCATATCCTAACTCCTGGACTCCCAGATTAAAACCCTTTGTAAGGGTTAGGGGTGATATTCTACATGAATGTTTTATGACTTTGACAGAAAGACATCCTCATGAGACTAGGAAAGTGAGCTCATTTTTAAAGCCCAAAGAAAGGGAAGAATATATTGTTCAATTAATGAAATTAGGTTCCATTTCTCCCAAGGCAAGGCTCAAACAATGGCCATTAATCAATTAAACTAGAAACAAATGATCTGAAACTTTTCATATTATTTAAAATTTAATTTCAATTTTCAATGGATTTTCCTTCAAATGAACTTTTGATTCAAGCAACCTTTTGCTTTTGTGGATAACTTTTACATAAAAATTAGAAAGTACCTGCTTTAGAGACAACTCCATGTTCAAGATGACTGATGGGTGCTGAAAATAGAAGTTATATGTCAATAAAGATAATCATTAACAGGCCTTTTTATTAACCAATATGTGGTTTATCTTACACCAAAGATCACTGAAGTAAACTCCGCAATATAGGAGAGAAAAGGATCTTGTTGTTTGCTTTTTTCTTCCAATGTGTAGTGGTTTTACCTTCATAGAAGTGAAAATAGTTACTTAAAGTATCTTATTAAAGAAAACTACCTTAATATATAAGGAAACACTCTGCAATGGAAACTGTTCCCAGTTACAAGTTTCTCCTTCTTCCAATCTGCTTATCTTAACTGCTTCCATATAATTCAAACTAGTGTTGACAAGAACATCTCTATAATTATTTATTACCTCTTTCTGCTATTACTTAGATTGGTGGTTCAAAAATTTGTTCAAGTAGCAGAGTTCTGAAAAGTTATAGTGCTCCTTGTAGATGACCATATTCTTTATGGAACACTACACAATATTGATGCCCATGATTTCATGATATATAGTAAAGCCAGTTTTATTTGTAGAAAATATGGCTCTGTGCATGCAAGAATAAATAAGAAACATGAACACAAAAATTACTAAACTAAAAAGGACACAATGTTTAAAAAAATGTCCTCTATCATCTATCTACTATTTATTCATTTCATACCAGTTAGTATTTACTGCTTAGCAAATAGCAGCAAATGTAAAAGATTTAAGGAAATCTAAGAAATAAAAATTTTAAGTGAGAAAGTTCTATCTATCCAATAATGTTTTGCGTCATGAATTTAAAAAGCATGGCCAAACACATCAAATTATATGCATGAAGTATGTGTGTTTTTTGTATATCAATTATACCTCAAAAAAACTGTTTTTAAAAGAAGAAAACAAAACAAATCATGGCCATTACTTAATCTTTAACTGCAGAAACTGAGCAATTCCTCTGGACCACTGTCTCACACCATTGAATGAAACTTGTTCTAAGGTGCCTATGTGTGTTGTAGGGGCTGTATTTTTGGCCTCAGGGTTCACATTTATGTTTGACATCCTGTCCTTTCCCTTAGGAGCCACCCAAGATTTTGTTTTGGTAGACACCAGATAGCAGGTCTTGTTCTTGTTAACTCCTTGACCACTATTATCATCACAATGTAAACAGGATCCTGTGGAACTCAGCATGTTAATTAACTTGAGCCCCTCACAGTGGAGGGCTTTATTCCCTTTTAGGCAATAGATGTTTACATGGAAACAATCCTTTTTAATAAACTGTCTCAACAAAAAGGTTATAAAAAAACACAGCATATTTTTAAAAAGCTTTTCTAATATTATAAATAAAATTACAAAATTTTATTTATAATATTATTTTCATGAAATAATTTAAAATCAAATTTTATTGAGGATTTACCAAAAAAATGCCACAATTCAAATTCATTGTTAAAAAGTCAAAGACATTCTCTAAACCTGGAGAACTATTCTTGTAGAACTACTAACTCATTTTGGCTGGTGAGAGCAATTTAGCATACATGAAGACTTACTATCATGCAACGTATTTTTATTTTTTTTTAATTTCCTTACAGAAAAGCAGGGACACATGATTTATACACTCTTTTAGTTTTTTCAGATTCAATTGGGGAAAAATTGAAAAGCAAAATTTATAAAGTAGAAAAGCATCTGGACAGTAAAAGAGACCCCAGGCTTTCATTTAATGTGGCAATTTGTCTGACTATATGCTTAGAGAATGCAGTAATGAGAGGCAATCCCAGGAGCTCTGAGCTTAGTGGTACTCAATAGAGTAAGGTGAGTCCCATTCTAAGTTGCTTATAAAACTTTTTCCATTGCTTAGGGAAAAGAAAAATAAAGGAGCTAATTTCAAACACTTCTCCAGGAAAAGTGATGATGTATTAAAATAAGCGTGCCCTACCTATAACAAGGACAACTCAGTTCCACCATCACTGCTCCCAGAACTAGGGACTGAGTCTTACCTTGAATATCTGCAACTCCTCCAGAACTACCTCTTCCATATTCCACTTCTCCTTCGAAATGCTGACAACCTTTAGGAGGGTTCCAATGTCTGAAAAAGTGCATAACCCATGATCCTGCTGTTTCTATTGCAATATTTAGTTGTAAGCATATTCCTAGGAACGAATTGCTCCCTTCATTTCTTTTTAAATGCCTTTCACAAATTAGATTAGATTAAATAAAGCAAGCATAAAGAAGTGCAATTTAATGTATAGTATTTTGCCCTTCAGAAATATTATAGCTTTTAGCTAGTAGAACATATTTATAGAGAGAATATTAAAAGACATGTATTCAGAGCATATTCTTTATAAAATAAATATATATGTTCAGTTTAAATATTGGTTGAAATGATAAAAAAAGGTGGAACAAATGTTTGGGGCCTCAATTAAAAAGGTTAAAATATAATAAGCAATGTCTCTCTCCTCCCCTCTCTAGCTCAATGTAATATATATTTATTTAGTAGTTATTATATCCAAATTCATCATAAAAGGCAGATACATGTTCTTTTAATGTTAACAAATGGACAAAAAAAAGAAAAAGAAAATTATTGAAACAATCTGAGGAAAACTGTAGCTCACTCTTCAATTGTATTTTACCTTCCTAATCATTATTAATGGGCTAGAAACTGAAGTTTTGTTTAAATTAGTTCAGCTCAACTTAAAAGACAATATGAGGTTGATAATATAAACCAAAAATTGACATTTAGTAAAACGTATTAAATATATCTTCTTATATTGCAATTCCACAAGGTGGCATGCTAGTACAGAAAAAAAAAAACTTTACAAAAACAATCCCACTTTAAAATTAATTCATACAAAATAAATATTTTTAAACTTCTGAGCACTGGATAGTGCTTAGAGGATAGTAACAGAGTGCTTGGAGGATAGTAACATATATAGTAATGATCTTTTGTGTAAAATAGTCTGGATTATTTAATTATTTTAAGTGACTCTAGGATCTTTGAAAAATATCAAATATGGATTTTCCAAATTCCAAAATTGAGTATCTGGCTTGACTTTTCTACAATTTTCTCAGTAAAAGTTAGATAGTACCACCTAGTGGCTGAATGACATTTATGGCAATGAACAGTTAAAGACCTAGGAGTGAACTTTGGGTGGACAGTGCAAATTAAAGGCCAAACTTATGAGCATTAATAATAAACTAATTATTTCTACTTTTGACTCTTCAGTAGCCCTCTCTGTAGTCTTTGAAAAATCCCTGATTTTTCCAGTTCTTTAAATTACTATCTGCAACATGATCAGGTTTGACAGCTGGTGTTCAACTATCTGAGTCTATAACGCACACACTCCCTAATAAACATAACTTTTGTAAAACCAATATATTTTTAAAATAAAATTATTCTACCATTTGTTTGTATTCCTAAATACATATTTTAATTAAAAATATGTTTTTTGAAAACCATTAATTTCCATTTTATGAAGTGCTTGATCCATTAAATTATATAATATAGCAGTGCATAGTTTTTAATGATACATGTTATCATTAAATACCATTAGAATTCACATGATATTATTAAATAATACTTTTTAAAATTTTTGAGACTTACCAAATAATATTTTTCTTTCTGTGAAAAAAAATTTAACTCATTTTATAATTACTGAGTTGGCAAAAAATAAAGTGGGTTTCAATTATGAGAGTCCACACAATTCATTTTAATCCATACAAAATTTAAGAATAGGAAAATAATCTCCAAGAAGTTTCTATTTAAAGGTATTTATATAATAATGGCTAATGTTTTTGAAAAGGTATCTTGAGTCAACTAAGTCAGAGATTCTCGAAACCAGGTGAAAGGATCCTTTCAGGCAGAGCTCATCAAGTATGTGAGGTGAAAGGTGAAGTTTGAAAACAAAGAAATATTTCTTTGCCTTACTTGTTTAATTTAGTCCAAAGTCACTTAATATGTATTAAGTACCTACCTATCGTAGGCACATTGCAGTTATAACAAACAAATATATTTAGGAGGCTGGGAGATATTTACAAATGCAATTTAAAAGCATGTGTTACACAATTTTAAGCAATATTGACAAAGTATTAACTAATAATTACTCATATTTATTTTGACCAATAAACATTTTTGAAGCATTTGTTTTGTTTAATAATGAAAAATTCCTTTGAAAGAAAGCACCATCTAGTTTGAGCTTACCTGTTCCAAGAAACATGACATCGTACTGGCCATCTTCTGCAACAACATGATCCACCACTATCTGTGTCAATCTGTAATCCACATTGATTCGCTTGAATGTTGGTCCTCCTGCAACTGGGTATACTGACTTATACATCACTGGGTGCCGCTTTATGAAACTGATGACATCATCTGGAAAATCTCGGGTGGATTTAATCAGTGGGTCATAGGTTTTGCTTGGACACTGAAAATAAATGTGAGGAAAAACACTGTTTATGTACCTGAGAAATTCTCACTTACTTTCAATAAAGTTTTTAAGGCTTATCATCAATAATATTAAAGGAATGAACAATAGAGTCAATATGGAATCAAATGTACTTGTAAATAAATGCAGCACACCTCCAATAAATTTAAATCGAGTCTCTTCCTCAAAAATATCATAAATTATATGCATTCATTTATGTATATGTATAAAATTTCCATGGTGAATTCTTTTCTTATAAACATTAGCGTTCCTTTGAAGATTATTGTTTCTAATGCAGATACGTGAAATTTAAGTTGAAATAACTGTTAAGAAATTGATCTATAAACCTGAGAACATATGGGAAACTATCATTTTCAATTTCCTTTGAGTAACTTTATGATTTCAGTCAACTGAAACCATGTTTATCAAAAATAAAAAGGAACAAAATCAGGAGGTCACAAAAATTACTTTCAAAAAAACTTTAATAGTTTGAAATTGTAATTATGTAGTTTTTTTTATAGCTGGTGTGAAAATTATACTTTGAACAGTTTAACAGCTCTTCTCCTAAAGGATCTGTGAAGAAACCCTCAGGGAATTTTCCACTTGGGTCTAAAATTGCCTCCTGTGCGCCTTTCAGCGTTTACTAAATCAATAGTTATCACAACCTGCCCCCTGGTGGTAAAAATTAAAAAGTTCCTACTAGTAAATGAATTTGAAGTGACTTTATCCAAAAATAAAGAAATCACTTTATAATTAAACTTTTTTTCTTCAGAAAATATATTCTCTTCCAAATCCTAAATATATTTTGTTTTTCAGTATATTATAATAAATTCTTAATGGAGTAATGCATTCATTTGAAGTGGAAAAATTTAGTCAATTGATGCAGACAAGCATAGAGAAGAAAATGAGTGACATTAGGGAAAGTTTAAAAGTAGATTCTGCTTTGCCCTTATTATAGTTTTTAGAAAAGTTGGAAACATAGTCTTTACTAAACTGAACCATTTATACTATGCACTAATTAGAATCATGTTAAGGTTCCAAAAATAAAATGTACTTCTCAAAGTGTTCAAGAGAGTCATTCTTAGGGAGCCAAAGATCCTAGAGTTAGTCACAATATATGACTCCGAACCCAAATTTTATACCAATAAAATCATAATGGTTCATGAATTAGAAGTATCAAAGAAGTTGTACTTAAAAAAAAAAACCTGTTAATGATTTTTTCTAAATAATTTAAAAATATCTTTATCTTTCACAAAAAGCTTGCATGTCTGCAATTAAGAAACTTATCCTTTCTTGATATCTGTTTACTTGTCTCATGTCTGCAGCAGAGAGATTAGAAATGTCCTAGAGTATTAGCCATTTAGTATTTATCTAGCATATTCTTAACTGAATGTTGGTCTAAAGATCTAAGTCTGTGTGCTCAATTATTATTTCTAGCACTTAGCCTTCAGCCAAGTGGAATCTGTCAACTGGATAATGGAAGGAACCTTATATTAAATAGATTAAGCAGAGACTCAAAATGGATATGGAGCTCAAATGATACAAAGCTCCTCTCCAATTATAGGCTGCATGTTTGAGGCTCAGTCAAAGGCCATTCACAGTGGGCTTATAGCATATAATGCCTGTGGTTCAATCTGGTTGGTCTATCATTAAAATCAAAGCAAGAGCAAGATTTTGCCTGCATTACATTTTTGAAAGAGCCCGCCAACTTAAAATAACTCTTGACTTTGCAGCTGTAGTTATGCAGTAGCCAAAATTTCAAAAGAAATAATATAATGACATTCAGTCCACAAGTTGTGATATCAAATTTTTAAATAATTACAAATTTTAATGTAAGAAAGTGTAGTTGAATAAAAATATGAACATTTTAGCAAATAAATAAACATGCCAATTTTCTTCATTGCTCACCTCTGACAAAAAGGTTTAAGTGTAATAAAATCTAAGAAAAAAAGAAGAGAAGGAAAACCTGGTTTCTATTGACTATTATAAAATGATCTTTGAATATATATTTTTTCTTATGGCAGCTTTTCCTCATGGCATGCCGCCAGTGTTTGGATAAGATCTTTATCCTCTGGGTTGCTATGCGTGATCTCTCAGGTCTGAGTCTCCACTATGCTTGCACAAATGAAAATGATTTGGTAGAGTTACTCCCTGAGGTTTAAGATAGTATGGTTTGAACCAAATATTGTTATTTTAGTACATTCAAACCAGTGGAATTATTGCTTTGATATCATATAGCTGTGTAGCACAGATCTAAAAATAACTTGAGATGCCAAGCAACATACGCAGGTAAGAGTAAAGTATAAAAGAAAAATTCCATAGAAGAAAAAGAGAAAGTATGGGAAATGCTATATCTAAAGCAAATTGTTACATTCAATTATTTATTTTCTTTCAAAAGAGCCTAGAAATTTTTCTTATTGTAGCTATACATTCCAGGTATTAAAAATCTAGTGAGTTTTTCTCTGTATGTGTGTACTTTTAATTTCTAGATATTAACACCTTCCATTTGAACATACCAAAGGGGGGGCATTTACTTCTGCCTCCAGTTTTCTAACATTGGCCTAACTTCCACCACTTTAGTTTCTGTGAGTGTAGGAAATAAATCAGGAAACTTATCTGTGTCTCTACCTACTGTTTTATAAAACTCAAAAGACATTTAAAATTTAAAGACAAAGAAAAAAAGAGAAAGCTATTACTGAAATTTTAAAATGCCAGTATCTTGCTCGAAGCATTAATACCATCTCAAGACTAGAAGAGAACCCGCCTAGACAAACTGTGAGATGAAAGGGTAAACCCAACAGGAACAGCAACCAGCCCTGGTTCAGCGCCTATCTCCCATGGCTGACTGCCATCGCTGGCTAGGTGTGATCGTGTTATGCTTGGCAGCACTGCGTGTTTGTCTAGGGCCTTTAGTAGTGGAGTGGGAAGCAATGGATAAGAGGAGAGAAAGAGTTTTTATCCAATGAGAGATCTTTGCCCCTTGGCAAGGCCCCAGACAGCTGTTAAAGGTTTTCTCCCCCTGCGACTTCAGGCTGTTCTCTACAGATTGCAGTTTTCTTTTAAACAAATGAGAAAAATGAACAATGTGCAGGGAAGACATGGCACAAGGAAGGACTGAACTAGGCTTTCATTTTCAGCAAACTGAGAAAAATAAACTAAATATGTAAAGGAAGTCTGAGTTTTATTTATAAAGTAAAAAATGCAAATGTAATAGGTGCCATCTTATCCTCCTGCTTATTCATCTAAGAGTCAGCCTATAACAGATATGGGCAAGGAGAGAAATAATATTTAATACCAGAGATAGAAAAGCCAGGGGCTGGCTGGGCACGGGGGCTCACTCTTGTAATCCTTGCACTCTGGGAGGTGGAGGTGGGAGGATTGGTTGAGGTCAGGAGTTGGAGACCAGCCTGAGCAAGAGAGACCCCGTCTCTACTAAAAATAGAAAAAATTAGCCAGGCGTGGTGGCGCATGCCTGTGGTCTTAGCTACTCGGAAGGAAGGATGAGGCAGGAGGATTGCTTGAGCTCAGGAGTTCAAGGTTGCAGTGAGCTATGATCAGGCCACTGTACTCTAGATGGGGCCACAGAGCAAGACTGTCTCAAAAAAAAAAGAGAGAGAGAAGCCAGGGCCAAAAACACAGAGGTAAATTTCTCTGTCTCTCTCTGAGTTTCCCTTTCTCTCAGAGGAATTCCCATACCAGAACAAGCAAAACACTGTTGAACATAGTAAGTAGCCTGGGATTTGAAGAAACTCATTATAAAAGCAAATGTTGGCCCTGTGGAAAAGAGAGCAGAAAGTCTGTTGGAAAGGCTGATTCATGTTAGAAGTCCATGGCCTCTCACCATATGAGAGAAACACAGCCTATGCATAGGGAAACAACAGTGATGTTTTATCATACACCCACTTCAGTGTAATCAGTTTCAGGAACCTGGAGTCAGAAAGCTTCTAGCCTTGCCTCTGCTAAACTCTAGAAGAAATAGAACCAAAAATATCCTCAGTAATTTAGAGAGGTGGTGACAAAAGTAATAGTTTGCTACTCAATAAATGGAAAGCTGTGGAGTGAACAAATATTAGAAAGTAAAACTGTAAATTCAATATGAAGAGAGATATGAATGAGCCACTGATGACTAAAATGAGTTTTTTTCCAAAGTTTTCCATAGTTTATAAATTAATTAGGAAAGACTTAAAGTAAAACAAACAAAAAACCCCACCATTATTACCACCAAATTTTTGGCCTTTTTCTTCTTTTGCCCAATTGGGAGGCCGGGTTGGGCCGTTTTGGGGGGTTCTTGTATCATACTCTGCATTTTTCAGTCTCCTTTGGTAAGACTATGATAGTCTAACACTATACAAATTGATAGAAAGTTTTGAATACTATTTTTGAATTACATATTTTTCTTTGATCAGTTACACCTATGTTTGGAAGTCAACCTTAAAACATCTATTTTATAGTTTTCTAACATCTATTTTCTATTATCTATTTTTAATATAAACAATATTAAAAAAAATTCTGCATGGGACCAGCACAGTTTACAACCAAGATCTGATGCAGAAGATTAACAAACACATAACATTCTAAGAATCGTTGCCTCTCTGTGAAAAGACTGTGTTACAGAATTATGCTGATGCTCAAACCACATAGTTTAAGGAGCAGAAAGAGAAAACAGGGTGCCCAAAAAGTTCTGAACTTGTGGATTCCACGGCTGCCCCAAATCCCTGCTGCTGAGAATAGCAATCAAGGTAAAAGTCTGAATTTCTCAGGAGTAGTTCTAGTACTACTTGGAGCACCATTACATACATTCAGTCTGCTATGTAAACACAGTTATTGACATTAGGTATTATTATCCTATGATCTTTTCCCTCCAGGATTTACTTTCCTAAAGCAAAATCATAAACCAATCTCAGAAAAGGTAATGATGCCTTGATAAGTTATAGTAAAAAAAGACTTTTCTAGAACAGAGGGACATGCCAGGACCCAGAGCTGGTCCATGATGGTGTATT